TATAGGTTTCTTGGTCCAGGGTCTTTCATCTTTCCAAGCTGCCTGCGCGCAGGTTTGGTGGTGGGAGAGATCTGGACGTGTGATGTTAATTTTACCTGTGATCCTCTGAATAAACCAGTACAGTTATTTTTTATAAAATCTAAAGTGGTCTACTTCGTCTTTTTGTGACTTCCTGGTTTAAAAGAGCCGGAAGGAGCTTTGTACATGAAACAGAGCTTTTAATGTGTTGTAAAAACTTAATTCAGGATTCAGAAGTTGTTTTTCCTGCGGGAGCTCTGTCTCTCTGAATCCAGCGCTGTGTTAGGTATTTTTTTAGTCAGATAGAAATTGGTTAGATACTTGTTGTATTAGAAATGTTTAGTGGAGACAGGATGTCTAGGTAGGCTGTTAAATGCTTAGTCATTCTCATGAGTTTTTTGCAGGGTGCATATGGTCAAGGATAACTAGATAGAAAAAGTTTGATTGTCAGCAGGCAGGATGATTATTGTTATTATTATGATATGTTTAACCGTAATTGTAATCATAATATTTTCTTATATTTAATGTCATGACATGTCACTAGATGTCATGTCAGAATGTTCTTAGATACACACCACTTAATCAACACTCACATACATTGATCTTCTCCATGTTTTGACTACTACTACGGTCAGCTGTAAAGCTGGCATATCAGGTGACGCGATGGTTTGACGTCCCTGGGTAGAATGGGGCTAGCCCAACCGAAGAGATAAATGTATAGGCCTGTTGTGGTTCAGGGTCTTTCATTCTTCGTCTGCCTGCGTGCAGTATTGGAGGTGGAAGAGACCTGGACGTGTAATGTTAATTTTACCTGTGATCCTTTGAATAAACCAGCACGATTTTTTTATATCCAAGTGGACTGCCTCGTCTCTCTGAGTTCCTGGTCAAAAGAACTGGAATACTGCCTTCAGCTGTAAGGCTCAATCTGTGATCAGACTTTCAGTAAACTTTCTGTTGATTTTAAACAGTCCTCTCCTGTCTTCACTTCTCGTGCTTCCAACAAAAAAATGGGTTAATTTCTAACTAGTTGCATCAACTTTTATGTTTTATTTATTTTTTATCAAAGACCAAAAGTAAGGCACTTAAACGAGGCAAATCTGGAATACCTGGCATGAGCTTGGCAGAAGGAAATATCCTTTCTTGTATTTCTCTACTTTCAGTCAGGAGTTCCTCAGCTGTCATGGGAAGTTCCAGGGTGTCCCTAATAATTTGGGCAGCATCCAAAGCCTTTTTGCCCATGACTGATGCCTTCACATCCCATGTGTACTGCTTTCCAAACCGGCCACATATTTCCTGGAAGGACACAGTGTAAAGTCGCTCTGTGTCTAAAATAAGAAAACACAGAATTGTTATAGCTTTCAATTTAACGTGATTTAGGATTAAATATAAATGGTGTACCAAATATTTATATTTGGTACACCAGTTTGAGGTCTTAGCCAGCATTTATAGTCCATTCATTTTCAGGGTAAAACCTCAAACTGTAAGTCAAATAGAAATGTATTTTTTTATTTGACTTGCTGCATTCAACATTGTTTTCTAACTTGACAACCACATAACCACATTTATAGGTTAGTTTGAAAACACACACTACATTATCAAGGTTAAATATAGTGTAAACATGGTGTAAATCAGTGGTCCCCAACCCCCGGGCCGCGGACCGGTACCGGTCCGTGGATCAATTGGTACCGGGCCGCACAAGAAATCATTAATTATTTCCGTTTTATTTATTATCTGAGTCTGAAAGATCATTTATTTTGAAAAATGACCGCATTCTCTCGGTTACATCTCGGTCACTTGAGCGCCAAAACTGGCTTACTTGTGCGACATATTCAGCCTGCTCAATGAACTCAATCTGTCACTTCAGGGGAAAATGACAACTGTCTTCAAGTTGGCAGATAAAGTAGCTGCATTTAAAGCCAAACTGGATTTGTGGGGACGGCGCGTCAACAGAGGCATTTTGGACATGTTTCAAACATTAGCGGGGATTTGGGGTGAGACTGAGCCTGAGCCTTCATTCTCCCAGCTGGTGCACGATCACATGTCTTTGCTTTTAAAAGAGTTCGAGCGCTACTTCCCAACCACAAAGGACCCACGAACTAACAAGGAATGGATCCGCAACCCATTTGTCAACAAACCAGGTGAATCCAGCAGGTCTGTGCAACAAGAAGATCAACTGCTGGAGATCGCAAATGACGACGGCCTTAAAAGTATGTTCGAGACAACAACTCTGTCGGTGTTCTGGATTAAAGTCATGACAGAATACCCTGAAGGTTGGGGACCACTGGTGTAAATGACAGCCCAGACGTGTTCCATTAATTGATCAAACAGCCCAAAACGGGGTTACATTATCAAGCCAACTATAATTTAAAAATACAGTAATTTTTAGTGTCCAAGCTTAGCATTTGATACATAATTGTCAAGCACGGCGTCATCTATCCACTAGATACAAGGCTTTAAATCGGCACGTGTGATTAATAAATATGTTGCAACTTTAAGTAAAATTCCACATTCGTAAAATTCGTCACAGCCGCTTCTTAACTGTAAATACACTGGGGAGTTGATTCACCTAAAAGTCAACCAGGTTAAGGAACGGTAAGCGTTTAATTTCCAAGATTTGTAGCAAAGATTGGCATTTTAGATGCATGTCGAATTTACCGTAAACTATAACGTCATAAAAAGTCAACAGATTTATGTTTATTTAATACGTTACTTTGGCCACATGAAAAGGAATCATTAACTTCTAGATTTTACTATGGAGCTCGGCATGCGACCCCTCCATCATGGAAGACTTCAAATAAATGAATGAGTGGGCGTATTACTATAGCTTTAGCGTACTATCATTGCAACCCCGCGTTTGAAATAAAACAACAATTCGAGAAAGGAGACACAAAATACGTTTTCAGACCTAATAATAATCCATCCATGTCGAAGATAACATGGCTCACAAGTTTGTAGGTACCGTCCGAGACAGACATTTTTGTTTGACTCATGGATTTAGTTCCGCGTTGAACATGGCAGAAGGGACAATAAAAACTAACACTAATACATGTAGCCCATGATTTTAAAAAAAAGCTAAGAACGTGTATTAAGTTTAGACGTGTGTTTGTGTAAAAGTTTTGTAAAAACAAACCACAAGTTAAATATTTTAGTCTGAAAGTGAGTTTCAGCCGGCTCAGGGATACTTTTTACTCACCACTGCACAATGATTACTGGGAAATGAAGTCCTATGTCACTAAGCCGTCCATGGTAGGCTAGTGGTTAAGGCGCAGCGCTGTCACCGCAGCGGCCCGGATTCAAATCAGGGTTGCGTAAAACACGTGCCAAATGTCAACATGCGCTGTGGTGACCCCTAAACGGGAAAGCCGAAAGTGACTTTTTTGAAGTCCTATGTCACTAAGCTTTTTTGCGATGCAGCACCAGGTGGCGCTGTGGTCACATGACCATTCCACCAGGCCTCACAGTTTAAAGTCAAAACCACACACATCTAATGTGATCAGTAGTTTGATACAATTCTGATGTATTTATAGTTATGAACATTTAGATGGATAATATGCAATATGCAATGCAATTTAGATAATATGCAAAGCTGTCATATTAGTTTATTTATTTATTATTAGTTTATTAGTTTACTGTTCTATATTTGCTGACCAAACTTGATTTGATATGAAATTCTAAATATTAATCAGCAATACAAGGGGAGAGGAAAGAAATGTGTGTTTTCATTGTTGATCTGTTGGATATTTTGACTGGCACAGCCTCTGTACAGATGTTATTTTAAGAATCATCAGGTCACCCTAATTTACCACATGAACAAGATGTTTCTGTCTGTAGACTGCAAGACTGAGAGCCAGGCGTTTCCTGTCATGCCCTGGGCTCTTGCAGTCAGGCAGAGAGCAACTACAGTCGGCTCAGTCTTATAAAAATAGTTGCCTACCATATGCGGAGCAGGTCTAACTGTAATATGGAGTTTACATCATAAACACAGATCAGCATTTTAGCACCCTTCCTGTTATATAGAAAAACATAATTAAAACAAGTATTGGATGCTGAGTACACTGAGCTGTTGTTTGTTTGTTTGTTTTTTTTTCCACCGTACTGTATTGAGTGCTGTAGTATTGAGTCCTAAAATTCGTAATGGAGTTATTATTTTGTGCCATTCCTTTCCCCGAAGTCAATGGGTTTTTTGTGAGATGCCTGAAATAAGGTCTAAGACAAATAGATTTTCACAATTTTGTTCTCAAAAGTAAAATACACCAGTAAATACCCCACTTTTGATTTTTAATGTTTTTATATGTATTGAAAAGGCAACTGCTAAGTGGCTAAATGAGAATACAGAGCCTCCCTGGGATATTAAACATCATCACGCCAAACATGATGACTCATCTACTCACTAGTCCACCTTTATAGGTTTGTTATGTTTAAGTTCACACACTTGCAAACTATTCTAATGACACAGCCATGATCACTAGCTAGATCAGGTCACACTAAGAGGGAAGGCTTTTGTGGAAGAGGTAAGCGCGCTACATCAAATTACAAGTCGGAAGCTGTGGTGGTGACTTTGAAGTCTTGGGACTGTGGTGTAGGTCATTTATAGCCTAACAGCTTTTTATTTCTAGCAACTCTATTTGGGCTTTAGACATGACAAAGCTCACACACATTTATTAATTTCATTCATTTAATTTAGTTAAAATTCACCATCTTACACTTGCGTTCTTCAGTGTGTCACAGAGATGGGCCGCAAATTACTGACCAAAAGTTGTTCACTGCATTGTTACCAGCACTGCCACATTTTTTGGAATAATTGGAACCTCCACCTTAACAGGGGTTGTCTTGTTAGTGTGAAAGAGATGTCAAGGGAATGAGAGAACCTTGTAACCTGGACAATCTAATGACCCTATGGATTTCAGGTCTAATTGGGGGATGGTGAGAGTGAAATGGAAGCTTTGAGACCTGTCGGGTGTGCTTTGTGCTAAATTGTTTGGTTTCTGGAATTGCTCAAACACACTGTGAGCTCACAACACAAGACCAAGAGACCATGTGTCTTTCTGGGGAAGCATTACAGAAAAAAACTATTTTCTGATCAAATGTTTCATGTTAATATATCAATTTTGACATAAAATAAAAGTCAAGTATTTTTATTTTGTTCTAGCAGGATCATGGGTGCTGAGAAAACAGCACAGCAAAAGAGCAGAAGCCTGATGATGCTTCCAATCTCACAAATCAAAAACAAAAAGTAGCAGGAGATGCCTAGGAAGCTAGCCCAAAGCTACACTTTGCTGCCTTCATTGCAACAGTGTGTTTGTAGATATAAATAGTGGAGTGGTAAAATCAGAGCCAGATGCACAGTTAGTTAGTTTTCACATCTCCCTCTGCAGTGGGACTACTGCAGAGACTGCTACATTTGGCCATATATGTATGATATAAGGGTTTTCCATCCAACCATCCACTACACCAGCAGAGGCCCAGTTGATACGTCCAGCCTTCTTGAAATTGTCATGATTCGGTTCCGCTGCTTCCTGTCCGGCTTTTATTTTGACGTTACTTCCTGTTTTTGCTTCACCTTAGTTTTGGTCTTTTTACGTTCATCATCACTTACATTGGTTTCACCTGTTTCGTTATTGTTTGCACCTCTATTTAGGCAGCGTCCTCCCACCAGGACGCTGCCAGATTGTTCTAGACCCCAGCTCTGACTTTCCAGCATTTTCTTCGGTTTTGGTATTTTTGTGTTTCTGATCCCGGACTGTTACCTTGGACTATTCTATTCTGCCTCGCCCTCTTGTTACGGACTGCCACGGTGTATGATTATCGGACTTTCCCTTTTGGACAAAGAACTTTGGATTCCCCTGGATGTATGTGTTTGCTGGCTCTGACCTGGGACTGATACCGACCGTGAGTTTTGTGTTTCACCTTGTCTTATATGGTTTTGTTTAGTTTTAGTTCTCTTATTAAAGAGACGGTTTTGTTCAACACTTCCTTGTCTGGCCTTTTAATTGAGTTCGCTAAACACTTTTCGGCAGCATCGCGCACCGTTTCTGACAGTACAATCTGGCCAAAATGGACTCAGCCAGCAAGAGAGATGAGGTGATGGTGTTGTGGACGGACTTAAACAGTTTTTGCCACCAGTTTTATGATCTTCAGGATTCTGCAGAGTGCATACGGATATGTGCTTGCATGGAGGCGATGATCCGCCTCTGGCCCCATCTGGCACTCCTCCCAGTATTCGAGGACATGCTGCTCCAGGTGAGGGAGCTTAGAGAGGAGGCCTTGTCTGAGGCCTATTGGTCGGACGGTTCTCCCGGGGACACTACACTCAGGGTAGGGGTGTACTCCCTTGCTCCTGAGTCCCAGCCCTTGGGGACCTGCCTGAGCCCAGCTGAAGCCCAGGACATTTTTTTTTTAACTAAAAGCCCAGATGGCCGATCCACTCTCCCCTCCAGCGATGGAACCCTTTTCCTGGCCCAGTTTTAGTTCTCTTATTAAAGAGAGGGTTTTTGTTAATCACTTCCTCGTCTGGCCATTGAGTTCACCCAAAACCCTTGTTGGGTTGTTTTCCACATTCCCATTGACAACCCCCTCAGCCAGATCATAACCAAGAGTGGTTACGGATACCGACTACGGAATGGAGCAATCATCAGCCACCTCCTCTATATGGATGACATCAAGCGGTATGCCAGGAGTGAACAAGACATTGACTCACTGATCCACACCACTAGGATCTACAGCCAGGACATTGGAATGTCATTCGGACTGGATAAGTGTGGTCGAATGGTAACAAGGAGAGGGAAGGTAGGCAGAACTGAAGGGATTGCACTACCAGAAGGCAACATAGCAGATGTTGAGGGCAGCTACAAGTACATTGGGATCCCGCAGGCAAATAGGAACCATGAAGAGGCCGCAAGGAAAGCAGCAACCACCAAGTACCTGCAGAGAGTAAGGCAAGTCCTGAGAAGCCAGCTGA